GCCCCCCCTTTCCCCATTCCACCTCAGACTACCAAATAATTATGGTGTATTATGTTTATGTTTATATATTATGGTATAAACGTTATGAAAAATTAATGCTTTTTTAATTACCTACAGAGGAAAAAACACCTGCATCACTTGAAACATTGAAAAATAGCATAGAGAGAATAACTGTTATTATTATTATTCTCTCTCTGTTATTTATATTTTGTGGGTTTCATGCTGTCTGCTAAGGCATAGGACACACACACAGGCTTTCCTCCTCACCAACGACATTAAACACTGTGTCTACACCGGACGCGAGCTGCAAAATACAGTAGAACCCATTATAATCAGTGACGCTGTGTACACTGGATGCGGCCCGATATTAAACTGATGCCTTGTTCTATTTAAGACATACTGACACAAAGTTAAAATGATTTGCAGCAGTCGCTTTGTCGTGTCCAGTGTAGAGCTGTTGCGGCGCGACGCGTCAACTGTAGTGTCTGGTGTTCTGTTGATTTGTGCTACCCTGTCAGATTTTGCTACCTCCGATTAAAACAGTGGGTAGTACAATTCGACAACGAAAAATGCTACCTTGTAAAATTATGGTTTATTAACGTCTACACCTACCACAACCCTAAACCTACCCTTACAGTAATTCAAATAAAGTATGCCAATTGCACGCTCCCTCAAAACTTGCGACATCTGAGGCATTGTGCTGTGTGATAAAACTGCACATTTTAGAGTGGCCTTTTATTGTGGCCAGCCTAAGGCACACCTGTGCAATAATCATGCTGTCTAATCAGCATCTTGATATGCCACACCTGTGAGGTGGATGGATTATCTCGGCAAAGGAGAAGTGCTCACTAACACAGATTTAGACAGATTTGTGAACAATATTTGAGAGAAATAGGCCTTTTGTGTACATAGAAAAAGTCTTAGATCTTTGAGTTCAGCTCATGACAAATGGGGGCAAAAACAAAAGTGTTGCGTTTATAATTTTGTTCAGTGTATACAGTATATACATATATATATTATTTTAAGGTCAAAGTCTTCAGTAATGAAATGCACCATAACACTGTTACCGTTACCGCTTGAGTAATTTCAATGTGCCAATTTGAAGTACGTTCATTATATACGCTTTCAAACATTTCCGCGTGTAGCGTGCCAGGGTTGCCAGGTTTTCACAACAAAACCTGCCCAATTGCTAGTCAAAACTAGCCCAATCGCGTTTCGAGGGGGGTCCACCGGTAAAAATCGCGTTCCAGGGGGTAAAATACATGTTTTTTGGAGGGGTTCCCCAAACCGCGGACTTGGCAACACTGTAGCGTGCCAACTTGATGCTTCCTCTGAAGACTGCTTAGATGTGTTCGACTTGAAGCAGCGCTGCTCAGACCGATCGGTGTGTGTCATCAAAGTACTGCGAGAGCTATAAGAGAGCGGACGTCTCCTTATGCTTTCTCTCGCCGTACTTTGATGTCATACACTGATCGATCTTCAAGTCGAACAAACCTTTTTACTCTCGCGTGTCACGTGACCGAGTGTAATCGCAGCCTCTGCGATTGAAAAATCGTGTTTTTTTTTCATCGTGGATATTATCGCAAATGCAATTAATCGTTCAGCCCTAAATTCATCACATCACATTCAAGCTGCATCGTATGTGGTACAGACAGAGAGGGGTACCTACTGCAAAGAAACAGAAAGCATCTCCACCCCATTTACAAACCTCCTGATAGACTGAACTTATTATGAAATTAAATTAAATGGAACTATAACGGGGGGGGGGGGGTTTAAGAAGTTTTTAACAATCTTGACAAAAATGTGTTGTGAAGAAAAAAAGGGTTCAAGTTATATGAAATGTTGCACTGAAAATAAAAGTTGCCATAAGTGAAAGTGAATGCATTACATAGATAAAAGCGAGGTGTACAGATAGGGACTGCAATACCCAGAATGCATAAGTGAGGTAGCGTACGAGGAGGTGTACGAAAGAGAGAGGAAGGAAAGAATAAATGGTGATCTGGGGAGATGCACACAGGTGCCGGGAGTCCTGCTTAAAGTCATTGCAGAAATGATAACAACCAACTCCATGTAAAATGAAACCGCATTTATTTCATTAGCTAAAAGATGTCTGGAGTCATTGTCTCATGTGAGTGTAATGATTTTTCTCAAAAGTGTTTTCCATTATGCGTAAAGCGTTTTTAATTACCAAAAAATTGGAGTGCATCCCAAAATGAGCAGAACCAAACCGCACTGTAGTGTACAAACAGTAACATTCATTTCAGTTACACATACAGATAATCCTCAGCATTATGGAGACATGGTTATGGGCTAATTTAGGTAGTTTGCTAAGGTTTAGCCTGAGAACCCTTGACATCCTTGCCATATCTCTTCACCAGAATATTGTAGAAGACATAAAGTCAAGTCAAGTCAAGTCAAGTCACCTTTATTTATATAGCGCTTTTAACAATACAGATTGTGTCAAAGCAACTGAACAGCATTAATTAGGATTAGCTTGTGTAAATCCTAGTTACCACGGGATGTCAATCAGATATAACTGCAGTAAAAGATTATGAGATGCATTATTTGAATGCTTGGCCAAAGAGATGTGTCTTTAATCTAGAAAATTGATTTTAAGATAAAAAAATTAGACGACAAAGAATTAACTTGACGGAGCTCAAACTCAAAACACACGGCAGCAACAAACAGGAAGTGAAGTCAGTGCACACGTAGAGATGGGCTCTTTTTATTTGGGGCAGTGTACTCAGGCTTTTGGGGCCCTTGCCCTATCACAGCATCACAGTGTCTAAGGGTGTCCAATCCTGCTCCTGGAGGGCCAACATCTTGCAGAGTTTAGCTCCAACTTGCTTGCCTGGAAGTTTATAGTGCATCGGAAACCCTTGATTAGTTTCTACAGGTGTTTTTAATTATGGTTGGAGATAAACTCTTCAGGGACAGGTTTGGACACCTCTGGTCTAAGGCACCGTCCACACGGAGACGCGTTTAGCTGTAAACGCATTAATTTTGTATCGTATAGGCGTTTCGTCCACACGTATCTGGCGTTTTAGGAGAGTGAAACCGATATTTTTTCTGAAACGATGACGTCATCAGCCCACGTCTCGCCCCTAGTCAGACATCGCTACGTCACGTAACAGCAACAAAAACATGAACAAACACTGAACGATTGCAGAATTACAGCGACACATACTGGTCTGGGCCCGGTTGCATGAAAGCCCTCAAGGCTTAAGCTAAGAAATCCCTTAGTTATAAGGTTAAGGGAGCCCTTAGTGAAACTTGGGTTGCAAGAAAAAAGCCTAAGGGTCAACTTAAGGAACCTTAAGGCTGCCATTAAGTATTCCCCTGAATTATTTAAGTGTTCCCTTAAGTGTTGCTACAAAGTCCTTAGTAACCATTTCACCTTAATACATTTAAGGGACCAAAAGAGCTCCCTTAAGTCATCTTAAACTCAGTATCTGCAGAATTTTTAAACTCAAATGTAAGACTTAAGACATTTTTTAAGACCTGCACAAATAAAATATCATATGAGCGTAGTAGGGCAATGACTATTGTAACATATTAAACTGTAAAATGACTGTAAAAAGCATGACTTACAGGTTTTCACAAAACAAAAAGTTTTATATAAATTTTTAAGTAAATGGACGAGTTGTATCAATTTAAACAATTATTATTAATCAATTATTACATTAATTAAATAACAATATAAATATAATTTGTCTTAATTGTTTAGATTTTTATAATGCATTATCTTGTCGATCCACCAGTTCACATTTACAACTCTGCCTGTTTGTAACATAAAAACATGGGTTGATTTTCACATCGGTCTGAACGAAAACAGCAGACTGGATTGTTGAAAATGCACATTCATTCTCTGTCAGCAGGAGGCACTTTCGGAACGGCAGAAATACAGCGGTTTCCCCGGTAATGGCAGTAAACAAAGCAGTGCAGCACATAACTTTGAAACTTGCAGCTCTCATGTTTAATCAACAAAATCTTTGTTTAAAATCATCAAAAGCCTTTTGAAGTTTAATCGCCACATTCAGCCATATCGCAATTCTCGTCTTTCCGGCCCCAAATTTAAGACCCCCTGAAATCATAATTAAGACTTTCTTGTACCATTTAAGACATTTTATGACCTTAAATTTGATACAACTAAAGTTGAGACTTTTTAAGGACCCGCGGAAAGCCTGATTTGAAATACAATGACCCCAAAAAGCTTTTGGACACTTCACCAAAGAACCTTTATGACTTTCTTTCATCTGTGGAGAACAAAAATAAGATATAATGCAGTGTTTTTACCATGAAAGTCAAACTGACTTTTATTTTATGGACAAAAATAGTTAAAACATTCCTCAAAATATCTTCTCGTTCTTCATTGCGTTATCTTCATTGCATTATATAACAAAACATCAAATCAGTTGGCATCTGCAAACAAATGGTGCCTTTTTAACTCATTTTTGCAATGTTTAAACAAATGGTCCAGAGATCACAGTTCATCACATTAATTATGTTTATTCAACTAACATTTAACTTAATTAACTTTTTACCTTAAAAAGTGAGCTTGTAATGTCTATCTTTAAAATAAAAAGTGTGGTTTAATATTTCATTATATAGTGCAATAGGGGTGGTAAATCGAACAATTCGTCATGATACAATCTGAAATCGATTCTCTTAGCCAGCAATACATTATTTGCCGATACCTCAAAAAACGCAATGATATGATTACAATTTGATTAGATTTAGAAGCCTACGATCGATATAGCAATTTATTTTATTTTTTTTACAAAACCAGTTACATTTTTATTACCTCAAAAACGCAAAAAAATTATTTAACAGTCAAACAAGTCATCTAATGTATCTTATTAATTTATAAAAACATCTAGAGATTTTTTTATGCATTGCATCAGTGTATCATATAGTTACTCATTTGATCGATACATCAATCCATATCGATTATACCCCTATAATTCAACAACATTTATATTTATTTTTAGGTATGGCTGAAATGCCCAAATACTTCTTATTGGACGGCTTAATTATGTAAGTGAGAAACAATTGTGTATACAACATGCCTGCTGTTTGGGAAGGCTCCTTTTGACTCTGTTGAGGGTTTTGCGGTTGTAACTCTCACCACCCAGGTGCACTTTAACCGCTCCAGAGTCTCGGGGGTCTGCTGTCATTTGAGGGAACATGTGCAGTGCCTCCTACAGAATGGGAAAGGAGGGAGAGTGAGAGACTGCTAGACATGTTCTTTAGAAAACACAAATCAACAAGTCTTGAGTACTCAAGAGGAACACAATTTGAGTATCACTGAAAGCCAGTGTCACCTGATGCTGGACACTCATGTTGACCCTTCTCAACAGCCTTCGTTTCTGTTCGTTGAGGATACTGTCAATCTTTCTCATGGGTGGGAGATAAAGCTCATCTGAGGACAAAAGGGGAGGAGCCAGTGATAATGCATTGGTACCGAGTTGTTAAATTGAAAAATACCATTACTTTAGATTCACATTTCCGTTCAAAGGTTTGGGGGTGGTAGGATTTTTATATATATTTTTAATATTTTTGAAAGAAGTCTCTTATTCACACGAAGTCTGCATTATCAACACTGAAAGCACTTGTGTTACTTAATATTTTTGTGGAAAATTATACTTTTTTTTTCTTTTTAGAATTCTTTAATGAAAAGTACGTTTAAAAAACAACATTTATTTGAAATCATAACTGTCTTTACTGTCACTTTTGATCAATTTATATCAATATTTAACTAGCAAAAGAATTAGCAAATTGCCAATGTTTGTCTGTGTTTTAGTTGATTAGGTTTGTATTTGATTATGTTCTGTTTATTGTCATAGATATATATACATATCTGTTTATTGTGAGATGTAGTAACTATAGTATCCGAGGCGCCCATTGCCGTATGTTGCCAGAAACTACCGTGAAACGCTTAGTATAAACACTTATGTGAGGGTGACCGTTAAGACGTTTGTTGCAACGCTACTAAAGAAATCCCTTACCTCAGGGATTTTTTCCCCCTCAGGGATACCCCTAAGTCAAATTACTTAAGGACTTTCATGCAACCGATGAAATATTTCTTGAGATGAGGGGGAAAAAAAGATTGGATAGGGAAAGCTCTGGCTTCGTGTGGACGTAGCCTAAGAACAGGGGTGTATAATTGACCTATCGGTAAGCCCCTCCCCTCGAACGCAGATGAGCCAATGGCAGTTGAGTGTCAGTTGCATGGGGACTGGAACTCAGACATCTTTAGGTGTCAGCATCATAGGGAAACATTGGAAGATCCAAAGCTCTCATCAGTTTGATGGCGTTTATGCTACAAAAATGGCAAAATGATGTACCTGTGGTACTTGTAACACTGGTTCCAGGTATCATGAGAAGATAGACAATGCAAATTGGAATTTATTTTATTATTCAACAAATGTCATAGTCTGACCTGAACACCCTAGTAACCACTTACAGCACCCTAGTGACCATTCACAATGTCACATGTCACAGCCTGTACACCCTAGCAACCCCCTATCAACCATTCACAATGTAATAGCAACCACCTTGAATACCCTAGCAACAGCTTAGCAACACCCTAACAGACTACAGACTAGCAAACACACCCTGAAGACTGTTTTGGCACACCTTAACCATTGTGAAGAAAGACCCTAGCAACCTGCTACAATGTCACAGTAACCACCCTGAACACCCTAGCAACCATCCCCAATGTTATAGCATATATATATATATATACACACACACACACACACACACACATAATTAAATCTATAATTATTGCTCTACACGCTTTTAGTCACACTTTCAGTCACGCTTTTAGACACCAAACTACATGATCCATCTAGACTCGTGCATTAGGCTAAATGAACACTTCAGCTTCTCCATATGCAATTTCCTTTGACATTATCAGTGTGATTGTGTAAAAGGAAACTGCATATGGAGAAATCATAGGAAATCATCTCACGAAAATCAAAACGTTGCTTTCAAATGCTTAAAACAGCAAAATGGGCCATTGCGAATGAAGGCCGTGCACTCAGACATGCACACACAGTGAAAACCACTGAAATTAGATTACAGTGCTGCACGCTGGACATGTGAGGGTTTAATGCTGGTGCAGTGCAGACCGGATCACTCGACTGCACCGCTGAAAAGCACTAATAAAACACTCAACGTGTGTGTGTGTGTGCCTG